GTGAAAATCTCACGTTCCGCATTATCTTGAAATCAGAAATGGAATTATTTTTTCACATTCAGAACGCGAGCTCGAGATTAACCTAAATTCATTTTTTATCAATTCTACTCCGCCGTCAAAATGAAATTAAAAAGATTGATTAACTAACAGACTGAATACGTATGCCATGACAAACGTTGAAAGGACTAAAAGACTTTTAATGTCACACGTAAGAGTTATTTCAGTCTATAATTAATCTCTTTGATGAATGATTTACTTTGTAAAATTTATAACATACGAGAACATCAATGGAATGTATCACATAGTAATGGTAATATTTGCTTATTATAAATTAACGCTGATAGATTTTTATTTATTAGTTATAACATTAAATTATCATAAAACATTGGTTTTGTTTGCAAAAGGAACTTATAGAAGGAAGTTTTTTATTGTCTTTGAGATTTATTATTTATTTAGTATGTATGTAATATATCTATATCTTATCTTTTGTATCAATCGGATGTTTATCAAAACGCACAAATCGTGTAAGTCATAGATGAGGTTTATTTTGCTTTTTGCGTAAGATAGGTTTATAAATTAACATTGTGTGGGCGTTGCGTGATACGAAAATCGGTCTACCATTTAATGAATGGAGTTAATATTACGTTACCCCAAATATTTGCAAAACCAAGCTCTATAATTAGAATGTTGTTTATAATAAAACTCTTGATGATAACCGTGCTTAAAATAATTTATATCTATTTAATATTTGAAGTTTAAGTGTCAATACCAACAAATATGTTATATTTTCAAAACACCTAGTCTATTAAGTCGCAGACATTACTTTTTATTCATAGCACATGTGTACAAACCTTCTTGGTTTCTCTTCATGGCTTAGTTTAATTACCATGTTAAATAATTTTTCTCGAACTGTAAATAAATTAAAAAAAAAAAAAAAATTATGACATTCTTTGAAAAAGTCTATTGTAGTTCATTATCATTTCATGTAACACATTTGAATAGTGACCATTTTCTTCAAAATTTCAAATATCACATAAAAGTATTTCTTCATTGAGAATATTTTCCAGTATATTGTGAATGGAAAATTGATCAAATATAATAATCACATACATTACTCAGATTCCATGATGAGTAGCTAAAAACCCTTTACTGTAGAGTTTCTGAGACAACGAAGGTACCATAACACTCAAACCCGAGACAATATAGAAAAATCCATTTTCTACACGACCAGAATATATGAAATTGGCTGGCGAACCACTAGGCTACGGTGGTCGTCATTATATACTTTTCGAAATTTCGAAAGAATGAAAAAAGTTCACTATCTTCAGATGGTATAATTTAAATTGTACGCGTTAAATATATACAAAGGACGAAAATACACTGGAGATTCAACACAAAACTTCGTGAAAATGACCGCCTTTTAGATTTCCAATATAGAGGAGTAAAAGATCGCAATTACCCGCAGCTCGTAATAAACATTTCGTTCGGTTCATTTGAAGTTTATTTAGTGGAAATCGCGTTCGTTGGTGCGTTCGTTTTACCGGCATAAGACTAGAATATCTGCGCATATGTATGTATCTCCGGTATAGTACTAGTATTTGTAAAGTTTTTTTTTTTATATAGGTTGTTGCAATTACACAAAAACAACAAATAATTATGGTTATAGATTAAGCGTAAAATCGTCAATAACTCTAAGCACCGTACAGATAAAAATATGAAAGAATCCTCAGAAAATATCAAAGTTGTTACCGTCCAGAAAAATTCTATGGTCCGAGATTACCAACCTCGCCAAACCTAAGAGTAACTTCTCTTTATACATTAGAACTCTGTAAACTTGTTAAAAGATATCCTGACTTTTTTTTACCAAAAAATGACATTTTGAGACGATATCCCAGCAGAAATAAGAATAATTTGATATTGCCAAAATGGAAATTAGTTTCGCACAGTACGAGTCCTTATGTAATGGCAATAAATATTTTCAATAAATAACCTCATTATTTAAAACACGAACAGAATATAAAAAACATTTATAGCGAAATCGAAAAAAAATCTTATTATAGTTAGAAAAATCTTATTATAATGTACAATAATATTTTAACGACAAATAATTATAACATATTTAATTAGCGTTGTCATGACATATATTACTTTACAGTTACAATTAAATTTAATTAATCTTGGCACATTATTAAATATGCTCAATTTGACAGTGACTATTTGATTTGTATTATTATTGTTTTGTAGTATATTTGTATTATTATGAAGTTTAGAGTTAATCCTTTATTATTGTCAATTTGATTATTAATTAATTTTAGTGATATTGTTTTTGACATTTGTGATTATTATTATTATTATTTAAAAAAATACATCTGTGATGAAATCTATTAACTATTGTAATATAATACTTAGTGTTAACAGTTAAAGTAAATGTATACAAATGTTGCTGTGCCCTGATAGGGTTCATGTTATGATGCTGATTTTGTGTAGAATATCTTACATATATTACCAACATGATTTCTATAAAGAATTGAACATGCTATATTCATTTATTTTTATCCTAAAATATTTAGATTTATTACATTTAAAAAACGGCCTCATTAAACCATTATCGGAAATTTGATTTAATATTAAACAAAATTTTCTATAGCACATATATAATTGCACGTTTTAAGTGTAATGCCACTGGAAACAAATTAGTGGTTTATTTTTGCGGTATACGTTTTTATTAGTCATATTTATAGGTGCAAATTTTGTTGTATTAAAATAAAAACTCTCTAAACCGAAATATGAAATCTAATAATAAGTTGGTTTTATTTTAATGTTATTCCGTTCGTAGTCATCATTAAAGAAATATAACTATATTCCTGTATACTTATTATCTTAATACATGATTAGATTACTTCTATTATCTTATTTATTTAATAAAAAATGCAGTTAGTAGCAAATTATTGCAACAAAATTTAACATGGAATAGTACCTACGTAAAAGCAAGATACCTAGCCAATACGTGGTTATCATTTTTCCTCTGTGCTCAGATAGGGAGCTTATGGTTTGTTCCCTATACAGGAGCACAGAAGCAGTAGTAGCTTTGAACTCGTTCAAGATGTCATCTGCGTTCTGATATAATAATAATAACGCGGTATATTTCGCGATGTAATTTTCGTGGGGTAAATAACTCTGTTGTCGACCACAAATCTTTTCTTCCGCTGAAAATGGGATTACCGGCCCAGATTCATAGCGGGGGCGGGCAACGACAAAATGAGATGTATTGCGACGAAAATAAATAAGATACCCGACTTGGCCTAGACTTGTGATATTGTCATCGAGCAGATCTTTAACATATGTAAAAAAACTGTTAACAAAATAGGACACTTGTAACATTATATTTGATTAATTTTGTATTTTGCTGTATTGATGTTTATTTTAAAGAATTATGCTTAGAATTCCATCGCCCGCACTTGGGCCTGGTGATTTTTTCATACATTTTTTCAGACTTCAAAATGTTTGTCTCAAAGAAAAATGTTTAAGAATATCAGGGAAAACGGTATGTATTATTCTATGGTAAATAATATTAAATAAAGTTACAGTTACTTAAAATTCCTTTTATAGGTATACTTAAGTGGTAATTAAGTATTGGTATATTTGGTATATATGTAAAAAACATGTGTTTTTAATAATCATTAACCTTTATTTATCAATATGCCATACTAACGCTATGAACACGTTAGTTAAGGTAACATATTAAACATAAAAATGGATATACAAAGAAATAAAATTGAAGACAGAAACATAAAGAAAGACATTTTCCAGTGTTTGTTGTATTCACATGTAAACTTGTGTTATCACTTTGGATGCTGGAAATGTGCCCAGTATAATAAACTAATGTTGTGTCTTAGGCCTGTCATCTCTCCACAAGATGTAAACTGCCGCAGTATAAATACAGTAATGGTTTAAAATGTCCTTTCATGAAAAATAAGGTCAATTAATTTTAATGCCTGACAATAAATAAATAAAAAAAAGTAATTTTTATAAAAACTAAATAAATGTTCGTTGACAAAAAACGGTATTGTGGCCATTGATTCAGGTTATGGTCTCTTAATTCAGAATTTTTGCTACAAATCTAAGATGCGGGAAAAGACTAAAATAAAATTGGGATACGAATGCAAAAATATAGCTTATAAGAATAAAAGAAAATGTTCATCAATAAAAATCATTCCGTTTCACTTGTAAAGCCAACTTAAGTGTGAACTTAATTAAACTTCGTTATATAAAGGTACTACCGTAGCGGCCTTCCCACACCCCCAATGTTTTCGAAAGTCGTATTCAACGATGTCTCACAGAAGACGAAAAGAAATATTATCCCCATTTTACTACATGTAGGGACCTCCCCTACATGTAAAGTGAAATTTTGAAAAAGAAATATCAATATAAAAAATATATTTTTCATAATTTCGCTTTAATGCTTTTTCGCCTTAATTAACGTAAAGGTATACTCATACCAAATTACAACTTTCTCGTACCAATAGTTTTTAAGCTAAACCGCGGACGGACGGACGAATGAACAGGCGGACATGGCGAAACTATAAGGGTTCCTTGTTTACTGTGGAACCCTAAAAATTATAAGTATTATTATCCTAGTAATAACGTTTTCTTTAATTCATAGATAATAAAGCAATTAATAATAAATCTAATAAATTTGTAATGACCAACTCAGCACAATTAATACTTTATTTGTATTTTACACAATCTTCGAAATTGCAAAAGTTATGCGAATATTTACTGTATAAAGATCTCGGAAGTTCAATCTCTTTGGATTGTTGCCAGACATAATAATTTATTACCCATATGTCTTCCACTCAATAGTAGTTACATGTATTGTTGACTTTGAATCGTAAAGGAGATTAATAATTATTTTAATAACTTTAGTAACTTTCATTTTTTGTCATAATGAAATTAGTCATTATTTTAATAACTTTAGTAACTTTCATTTTTTGTCATAGGACCGAGAAGGACATAGAGCTGAGGTGGTACGTTTTCCATGGCTGTCCTTTATTTCTGAAAGACGCTAAAACGGATGCCTATCAAGATTAGTTTGGCAATCGGCATCGCAGCTGGCGTCCGATTGTGATATTTTTTCTTCGTAGCGAACTATGATATAATTTATAACATTGTAATATAATTTGTTGTGTTATTATTGACAAAACTACTGTAACCGTTATCGTCGCATCTTAATTTGATAACTGTTATAAGGCCCAAAAATAGCCTAACTCAAATTGCTTCTACCCTAGAAGCTTAAATAAATATTTTAAGAGAGTTTAAATAAAGTATAAGTTTTATATTTTGTTATTGCCTACACCGCAAGAGATATGGCGTGAAGACACACATTTACATATGAAGATGTTCGGCTGATAACATTAGACAAAGATATACTGATTATATATATACTGTGACAGCAATATTTTAATAAGGACCCATTAATTAAGAAACGGTGTAACTCCGTCCAATTAATATCTGTCTTCTTATCATTACATCATAAGACAATATTGACATACATTTAGTATCTTTCTCACAATTTTGACTAAATCTGAAGGAATGGAAAGTAATATCTTGCATAATAGTCTAAGCGATTGTAATAAAATTTGCAAGAGCTTTCTAAAGCTTGACATTTCAGTATGCGGAAGTACTAGCGATGTATACCTATCACTCAGATCAAATGCCTGAGCGCCTGGTTGCGGTTGTAATGTAAAGTACTGAAAATCATTACACATATTATATGTGCTTTCTTAATAGTTTAAAATTAGTAAAATACAGAAAAGTCTACTTTTTTAACTTCTTAGTTTATACAATATTTTGAAACGCGGTGGCTCAGCAGATCTCAGAAGTTGGAGTGAAAATGAACTTCGAAAAAGAGTTTCGTATAGACTGAAAGTTAATTTATTACTAAATTTTTAATTTATTTCGCCTAATCTCTGCACCGGGTTCTGAAAAATATACACGTTTCTGTGTTATAGCTCTTCCTCGAATATCAAAAACTCGCTAAGTTTTATTGTAACTATTATTGACTTACGAGTATAAAACCTTAATAAACTATGTAGAGGTTTTATAAAGAAACCACTGCACTATATTACAGAATAAAAGCGATTACGTGACCTTAATAAATATTGATAATAATATGCATATAAATATACAGTATCATTACTTTGATTGCAAACCAAAGTATTCCAATATTGATATGACGGGAGATAGCAACAATAACAATACGATAAATTACTAAAACATTGGGGCAACGAAAAGTTTATTACCTACAACATATTCCTTAATTATATTCGTTGCCTACACAATTCAAACACGAAGAGATATTAACACAGTAGGTATATTATAAATAGAACTATTAAACCACTATGTTGCTAGTCCTTAAACTGAAATATTATACGTAACACGTTGTATCTAATTCATATTGAATTCCAAGCGTAACATTCCCAAGCGTAACGTTTGCATCCTAAGTAGATAGGCACTAGTTAATTACTAACATGTAAAACTATAAAACTGATAATGTAAATTAATGTTCATTTAATAGATTAACTGTAAGCGACTTTGTTTTATATTATGTATTACTATTTTTCTAGGTAAACAAACATTATATCCTAATTTCGTAACTATTAAACGTTTCATCTGTTAAAAATAATTGGGCATCAATTTCATCGTTCAGCATAAAATAAATACAAATAATTAGCATACATAGAGTAGTTGAGCTGACAGACGTTAGCCTATCCTGTCACTTAAACGGAAATGCTGGCAGAATTCAATATTTCCGCCACAGATAGATGCCGGAGGATTTATAAGCACTATTCCAAATTGTTCTCTTACACCCTTCCGCCATTCAGATGTGTGAACGATATGAATTCATAGAGGTATTAATTTTAGTGTAGTATTTTCGAAATCTGAACAGCCACTGAACTGTACAGAATACTAAGCATGAAATGTGTCTATTCACTGTGTCGCGGGAGGAATTTATGTACTTTACTTCCTGAAAACGGATACGCGACATACGCTAAAAGAGAGAGATAATAACGTATGATGTTTTATTTATTTTAAAGATGCTGTATTTATATTCTGTTCATCCCACATACCTACCTATATTGTATAATATTTTTACGTTCTTATTAATAACCAAAAAATAGCAGAAAATTTCATAATGCAAATAAGACAGTCCCAAAAATTTTCAAATTTCTAAAGCTAAAGCCTAATATTTTCAGTACGGTAGGAATACATATTAAAAAAATATATCAATAAATTGTGCATTAAAACATGAAAACGTAAAGAGAGACTAATTAAAACGGTGTTGATTTGAGTTGGTATTTTACCAAACAGATTTTCAAATCTACTGATGCCGAAGCATGTACCAATTATCGGTAATAATTTTATAACACCTATAAGTAAATAACTATCATATTACATAGAATATTACAGTTATATTTAACGTTCTATTTCTACTATTATAATTAAGCGAAGATTGATTTATTTGTATTGCGTTTCCTCAGGATTGCGTCCGACACAGTATTAATCAGTTGATTAATACTGTGTTGGCGACAGATCTCTGTACCCTTACTTAATGTATAGGTATAATATATGGTGAATCTTTGAGACGGAAGTGAAACAGCCGTGACACGCAAGCACGATCCACTATCATTTTGATAAGGCCGGATATAATCCGACCCTCGGTAAATAGATTACTTAGTCTAAACTATATAAATCATTCTATTCGCATATGTTATGAAAGGATATCCCGTGATATCAATTTGTAACTATTCAAACTGCTAGAATTTATTATTATCATTAATTTTTCAGAGTCAACTTGATAATTTAAATGATATCCATTTTAATCGAATTTATGTAGGCGGAGGTTTTCAATTTAACTTATTACTATATTTTCTTACAAATACTGAGACAATTAAAAAGCGAAAAAAACACGAAGAAACAGCGTAACATTTTCCTCCCAAACAACATATTATATGAAAACATTATATAAAAAAGGACGTTTCCTTTCGACATACAAAAAAAAGTAGCAACAATGAGGAACTTATTCCTAAGGGGCATTAGAAAAAAAATTCTTTAACATGTGTAAAACATATAAGCTGTGTTAGGCGAGGTGCCTATTCATCTATAACATATAGACCATTAATCTCACGGGGAAAGTGGATGAACGGCCAAACGTGCCCGTGACTAATAACGCGAACCTTTTCCAATAGTGTGCCGCGCTCCTGAATGCTCCAGAACATTCTTAAAAGTTAATGGCCACAAAAAACCTATTATAACTTCGTGTTAAGTGTAGAATCGATTTTCAAAACAAATATTATAGGAGTTTTTTAAGAATAATAAAAAAGTTTTGAAGCTTGAAACAATAATAAATAAATGAAAGAGTAGATAGATCTATGATTTAATTTTCGAATAAGATATTTTTCAATTTACGTTCCATTTTCTTATTATTTTTAGCTATTCACAATTCAATTCACATTTTTATACAAGAAATAAAAAATAAATTAACGGTACCTGTCACTTGACTGCAAAAAGTTAATAACTCATTCAGGGCTCTTTGTGTGCGCTTCTACATTAAGGTTCTAAGCATAATACAACAATTAGATATCATGCAGTTTAAATATACTATTAAAAAATACTTATTAAAAAAGCTTATTATAAGGTATCCGATTATATAACAGATAAGAATTCTTGAACTTAAGATGGTAACTGGATAGGTGATTTTTTCTAAACTCATTATCTCTCAAAAAATATCTTGTTTCCATTATTATTAAATTAATATGTTATCATTATAAGACCATAGCTTTTTTTCTCTCTGTTTATAATGTATTAATCTGATAATGACATGGTTTTTGTGAATGTCATTACTCCTATTAGAGCTGGTGAGTTTCTTGCTCGTTCGTCTTAACACCCAAAAGACGTCCTGAACGAGTGATAGGGAAAAAATGTTGGAAAGTAGTTAAGAAGTTTATTTGAATAAAGATCATTTTGACTTCGACTTTAATATGCTCTTGTGAATTAATATATGTTGGAAATTTAATTGATATGTGACATTGTTTGTATTATTTTCTTTGATTGTGTAAAAATAATGTTTGTTTCCCAAATATTAATAAAATTAAATATATTTTGAAGCAGGTGTGTTACTAAACACCTTTCTTAGAACATCTAGCTTCGAACGTCCAAATTAAAAACTGGCAAATAAACACATAGTGTTAATGTCAATTATTTTAATTTCAATTTGAACTATGAATATAGTGCACTAGTTTTCCACCAATGACTTCGCCTGCGTTGTACATGAATCCTCACACACTTGCTTATATATATTTTAAATATGAATACGACTATTTCTTATTTTGTTTTAAGTAGGCTTAAGAGAAAAGTGAAATAAAAATACATTCTTACGAATTTCTAAGCTGTTTTAAAGAAAAATACTTTCAATGCGTGAACATGTACGCTAGAGTCGTTAGGCTCCTATTCATCTATGGCAGCAGCACCATATCTCACAGAGAAAAGTGGGTGAATAGACAAACTTACCCGCATCTAACAACACTACACCTGCAAAAGCGAAGAACCCTTAAAAGCCAGGAAAATGCTTTGAAAGTTAATAGCTATAAATAGGGTCGTATTTATAGCTATTAACTTTCAAAGCATTTATTTCTATATAGGTTATATACATATATGAACACTTTCGTTACATATATTCGGCAAGCTTTATATACCTAAACTTTAATAAACTATGAAATTATAATTTACTTTGGGCTGGATAAAATAATAGCGCTAGTGATAACCTCAGTTCAAAGAATATTTTAAAGTCTGTTTAGATTTTGAACTTTTTAAGTATCAATGTATTAAGGTTTATAATCGAGAGAAGAAATTTGTCAGTTTTATATAATCCACTGTCTGTGAGCTGAGATCTGTTAAAGTACATAACGGATTTTAATTTAGCATTGCAAATTTATATAGATCAATTATAAAAAAAAATATTAGATAT